AAGACAGCTTGAAGATGGCGTGATGGCACAGACCCCCAATCTCCGTCACTTCTGACGTAACTCGAAGTGACTACGAAAGGGAACGTCTCGGTTACGTATGTAACCCTCGTTCCCTGAGTAGGGAACGGAGACGTTACGTCTCCCTGCCACTTCTGCTGTATCGCTGGGTAGAGGCCGAGTTCAGTCTTGGCTCCTCAGCGAAGACATACTGCGGTTGCGTTCACTTCCTCCTTTTATACTCACGGAGTAGGGCGGAGTACGCTATGCAAATTTCCGCAGCCCCAAGGCATTGCATGCCATTGGCTCGTGTTTTAATACTCGAAGAGGATTGGCTTTCTATGCGAAATCCCCCAATCTCCGTCACTTCTGACGTAACGTCTCCGTTCCCTACTCAGGGAACGAGGGTTACATACGTAACCGAGACGTTTTGTTTTGTTCTTTTCTTTGGCTTCACTAATTGCATCCCTTTTTTCTCTTGGGTTATTTATTAATCTGATAACTCTTTGATCTGTAAATATTTTGCTTATTTTTCCTTGCTTATTGTTACTATTATTCATCTGTTTGTATAATTATTTCACTTATGTATAATAAATAGGGCTGTTAAACGATTAATCACGATTAATCGCATCCAAAATAAAAGTTTGTGTTTACATAATATATGTGGGTGCACTGTGTATAATTATTTTATATATACACACATGCTTGTATATATTTAAGAAATATTTTCATGTATATACTGCATATATAGATTTATATACAATTTATATTATATATAAAAAGAAATATTTTATATATATATAATATTTTTTTTCTTAAATATACATGCATGTGTATGTATTTATATATATAAAATAATTATACACAGTGCACCCATATATATTATGTAAACACAAACTTTTATTTTGGACGCGATTAATCGTGATTAATCGTTTGACAGCCCTAATAATGAATGATGTTTCTTTCGCATTACTTCATTACGTGTTCTCTTGCCATCCTAATCACACCAAATTGTATCATGGCGAAACTATTAGCGAGTGACTTCCGAAAACGAATGTAAACAAACAATGGATGAAGCAGTGAGTGTTGTATTGGCTGTCCAGTGTTCAGAAGAAAAAAAAAAGTAAAAAAAGAAAAGAAAAAAAAACAGACAATGGACATGTTCCTGGATTACTTGAAGAGGACAGTATAGGCTGTCAATCCTATGGGCCCCATCTTGCATTATATAATATTTAATTATAATTCTTATGATTGATTATTGATAGTACAACTGATCTATTTTCACCGACCTGGACGGAGAACTGATCATAATTCGTTGTGTTCGGCTGTCCAAACAGGCCGTTGGTAACTTTTCCCTTTACGGGTAATTTTATAATTTGTAGGTGATTCCCCGAGCGTGTTTCATGATTATTTCTTAAAATTATATTCCTGGTATCTGAGCTAAAAAGAATATCCCAGGTTATTATTCATCTGCAAGCCGACAAGTTAATTTAAATTTTTCATGTTTCTTACCAAACAAGAGCCTGTGAATTATTTACCTCGCTTACATGTTAAAGAAATCATTATCATTAAGCTTTCATCCCTCGAAACAAGAAGAGGTGCTCATGCTGAGTGAGTGTCGGATTTGTGATGGCTTGGATTGTGCAAGTCAGACGGAGATATCTTAGGTAACACATGTTTGTGTACAGGAGCGTGAATGATTGTGTTTATCAGCGATGCAAGTAGGAAGCATTATTGCCAAGACACACACACAGAGAATCATGATTTGCACAGAGTTTGAATCACAACAACTAAAGTGGCTTCAGAATAGCAACTGCAAGACAACCTCCATCATCAACAATGGCTTAAATCGAACACAGACCCATCGGTGTGATAAAAGCAACTTGTGTCTAGAATAACTGAAAAGCATTCATATTTTTATATTTCGTTTTTTATAGTTGACTATTGACCACAACAAACATACTCGGCTACTAACGTAACCTCAGTTCTCTCTAGAAAAGGGAACGAGTAATGCGTAATATCTTATGCAAGGGGAAAACCTCTTTTCCACGAGATATATATTGAAACCATTTTGAATTAATGTAAAACGTGTTGTTTTGCAGACATAGGCAAGGCGACTCGCGTGCCTATTGACTGTCCTGAGATCAAGAGAGGCCCTTGGTGACGTCAGATCGCGCCTACTACGTCAGATTCCGCCAAAGTGTGCGTGGCCTGGGCCAATAAACATAGCTAGATGGGCTGATATAATCTGGTTTTTCAAGAGAGGTTACATTAGTAACCGAGTATGTTCTCTAATGAGAGGTTCTCAAACTACCGCAATGCGTTTTTCATTCATTCAAAATTAAGGATAATTTTTGGCTTCAATATTTTGTGGAAAAGAGGTTTTCCACTAGCGTAAGATATTACGCAGTACGAGAGAATCTCTCGTAGCTAACTATCAATAGAAAACCCAGATACGGATAGCCTTTAGTATCTCCTCTCAATCACTGGATCTGTACTTTGGGTCATGTTCTTAATATAAAACTTATTATGAATGACCATTAATATTCCAGAGCTGTTTCTGAGGTCGTTTTCCCAGCATATAAAATACCCCTGGACTGTTGCTGCATTATTAACATTCCTACCATTAACACTATCCTAGTGGGCAGGGATACTATTCCACACAGTCATAACTCCTTTGTCTAACACAATGCTTCTTCACTGCTAGCTATTGACTCTATTAATGTGATTCTTCCCTGAAGGGCATTGTAATGCTAAAATGTGGGAAGTGATTCAGCCACTGGGCTATTTATAAACCTGTTTCCTTTTTAAAATCAACCCTGCAGTGTAGATGGTTGTAAAGGGCCATGACACGTGTGGGAGCAAAATTCAAAGCAGCCAATAAAGTCGGATTTTCTTGCACACCACTCTAAATTTTACTTTTACTTTAGAACAAATCCCAAAATGGAATGAATGTTCTCAAATATCTTGTGAACAAATTCTGTACACCCTCACGTCATTCCGAACCTATATTACAAACTACTTTCTTTCTACTTTTGATTATAAAATAAGATATTTTGAGGAATATTTTAACTGTTTAATCCATACAATGAAAGTCAATGGGATCCAACTCAACAATGGACCCAATTAATCTTAACTTTATTGAGAAAAAAAAAAATGTTTGTTTGTTTTTCTTATTAATGCCATACCAGCTACCATGGCTATATTTATGGAGAGAAGAAAGTGAAAGATAAAAAAAAAAACCTTTTTTGTGTGTGTGTTCTACGGAAGAAAGAAAGTCATACAGGTTTGGAATGACATATGGGTTAGTAAATAATGATCTCCGTATTGGTATATGGAATTTAATCGCTTTGTATTTTCAATGCAAAAAATAATAATAAAACTGACAAAAACACAGCAAAATTTATAAAAATGGAAATTAAAATGGAAAGTTTAAAAACCAATTCAAACTATTAATAAAAAACTAAAGTGTCTCAATGATACTAAAAAAACATTTGGCACAAAAAAAAAATCGAATGCATCAGAAATTAAATGATGTTTTATTAACAAAGTTCGGGAGGAGCACATAGTCTACACAATCAGTATGATTAAAGAGGCCTATATATATATATATATATATATATATTAGGGGTGGAGCCGAATCCGAATACGGTATTCGGAAAGGCACAAATAATGTGTTTTTTACGAATACTTATTCCGAACAAATACTTAAAAAAATATTTGTATTCGGGAACAAGAAATACTTTATATCAAAAAGCTGCGTTCCTCACGAGACCGCAGTGCGCGAGTTGAGTGAGTGACGTTCAGGAAGAGGTGACTGACACAGGCTGCTGCACACAGCAACAGCATCACTATTTTTGTTGAATAGATGTTTGTACCTTAACTAGGTTCCGGAGGCAGATTATAACTTTCGGGAAGCGGAGTTTGATCAGGAGTATATTCCATTATTGACGTCTGCAGACGGGTGCTCTCATGTTCGCTCTGTTTACGTAGCTCTGTTAGCTCGGTAACGGTAATTATTTGTTTCTTATATGGCTTGGTTGAATTCTAATGTAGAATGCGGTCTGTTATTATAACAGGCCGCTGCTTATAAGTAGCTATAACACACCGTTGCCATGAAAAAAAGAGCGTTGCCATGGATTCTAAACGTAGAGACAGAACGGACTATTTTTCTTTTTTAGCGGAAGCGATACAATCGTTTTTTAAATCAATAAACTCCTTTTTATATCCATATTTTGAGTCAAATTATTGATTTATTTGGGCTTAGGGCTTCGTGTCGGGCTCATAATCAATCTCCTCGCTACATTATCCCTAACTTATTCTGTCTGCACAGCGTCCTCCACCGTGGTGTTGGGGTTCATATGTTCACAATTTTATTTCATTAGTTGTTCGTTTAACCATGGTTCATGAGGTAATGGCTGATTGTTATTTTCTTTTCAATGACTTTTCTTGTTACATGTTCATTGCTGGATTTATAGAAAAACATCAACCAATATTGCATATCCATAATTATTATAATGGATATAATTAAAGAATTCATACACTATAAAGTAAATTAAAGATTTTTATGCCTATTTTGAATTTTACTCGAATACAAATACAAATACAAATACTTTTCCCCCCTGAACAAATACAAATACAGATACAAATACCGGCTGCTTTGCACACCCCTAATATATATATATATATATATATATATATAGCTGACTTACCTTCGTTCCTCTGCATCCCGACTCTCGGCTAGTTCCTATCCCAGCCAGAGTACTCTGGGTTCGGGCCACATTCTGAGCTTGGAGCCTTCCCCCGAACAGCATGCCAAACACCCATTCCCTTTACCCAATCTAATTTTTAAAGTGTGAACTTGTGAAATTGTAGCCTTTTTTTTAAGAGTGTGTGCTAGAGTAGAACAAATGCCACTGCACACAGCGGCTCACCTCGACGTCTATTCTTATCTCAACCTCCAAGGGCATGTTCTGTGTTTAAAGTCATTGCAGCATACTCACTTTTTGGGCCTGTAGTCCGGAATGTTCCTGTCCAAGGAGATGCGGTCACTCAGTTGAGCATTGTAGCCGTACTCCTCGTACCTCCCTTCGCTCTCTCGGCTGTCCTCCCCCAGCGTAGCAGCTGCACCACCCTGTCCTAGACCTCCAGGTCCCTCCACCAGTCCCATGGGTTTGGCTAGACCTGCAAAGCACAAAAGATGTTTGACTTCAGTTGACATTACAAAGGTCAAAATACCCCATAAGTATGGTAAAGCAAAACTGGGTTCATTACTGCGGGTGTACCCACCAGTGACATGCAAATCATAACTGCTGAACAAGAGTATGGGCGATAATTGGATGTTGGACACCAAGACACCACCTTCGCCTTGTGTCACCTCTTTCATGCAGATCTCCCGGGAGGAAAAGGTGGAAAGCAAGTGAACTGTGTTTAAAGGGTTGTCAGTGCAGAGTAAGACTTCTTTGCCTTTGGAAATTCAGGTCTAATTTATCCTCTCGCTCTATGCTAATTAGAATGGCATTGATGCAAGGGTTGTTTCCAGCACAGGGCACATCAAATGCTGTGTAGTTTTACACCCAAAGAATATGACGACGAAGAATTGTACAGAATGTATCCATTATACCAGATAGTGAATGCCAGATGGTTGTTCCTAATCATAATCATTGGTCGGAATAATTGGCATTATTTAAAAGTCCAGATTTAAACCTTTGCCGTGCTCTTTAAAAGGGATGAAATGTGTAACACCCATTAAAAATGCTGTTTCATTTTGACATTTAAAAGAGCAAAATTATATGTTTCACTAAATTATTAACAGCTACATAAAAATTCTATCAAGTTTCAGAAATAAGCGCATGATCCAAGGATGTTCGTTTTAAAGCCTTGAATTACAAAGTGTTTCTAAACTGGTACTATATTGAATGAGAGAAATATCTTGTAGCTGACTATATTTTACTTGCTCTTTTCATAAACCGTGTCATTGAAATTCATAATATCAACTTGTGTTTAATTTTTTTTTTAATTAATAATTCAAATGTGGTATGTTCTATAAGCTGCTGCACAATATCAGTCAAATCATTTAAATAACCATACATTCGATTTCAATTTTTCTACATAGCTTGGCAAACGTACTACAATACGCTAATAAACTACTTGGCAGAGTTTATTTCCCAATGTTATTGATGCACAATACGCCTATTTATTAAACATCTGTGTTTTTTTTATCATATTGCTGTGGTTTGTTGTTTTTCAAAAGCAATAAACAATTAGTGTATACTAAGTGACGGTGCATACTGTAAAACAGTTTAAAATATGCATAAAATAAATGGGTATTTCATGAAGTATTACTTTTAGACTGACCAAGGCTTCATGGGAAGTGAAAGAGAGAGTCTAGCTCTAGTCAATCATATTCCAGCACAATGCACAATCCCTAGTAGGAAACCAGAGGCAGTGTTGTCATAATTAAGGAAAACTAAAATTATTTGAAATGTTTTAGTAGATTGAAATAAACATTACATAAAAATTTGAACTTAAACAAAACTTAGATTAGAAATGCATTGGCAACTTACTCATAAAATAAGTTTATAATAATTACGAAAACGAAAAAGCTTTAAGCTAAAAAGAAAACTAACAAAAATGGCTAAAACAAATTAAAGTAAAACTGAAAAACTTATTCAAAACTTTAATAAATACTATAACAACATAGAAATAGGACATCCTTTAACTGTGGAAAAGCACAAATGCCGTATTGCGTTATTTCAACGCATTCTCATCCTTTAACGTCATATAGAACGCTATATGACAAAACGGCGCTATGCTACGCACATGGCACCCGTTATCGTTAATATAACACGCGCTGTGAGGGCTAAGTTTAGGTGTGGGGTAGGGTGTGCGTGTCATATTCACCCTAAAGGATTTATGACGTCTTGGGTTCGCGTGTTATATTAACGATAAAGGGTGCCATGTGCGTAGCATAGCGCCGTTTTTGCATATAGCGTTCTATATGACGTTAAAGGATGAGAACAGGCTGGTTATTTTACTGTGGCCATACAGCTCATTATGGCTCTAAATGTTCATATTTCTCAAGACCACACATTTGAAACCTTGCCTGGTTCAAAAGCTTCCCAGAACATAGGCTTATCCTTTCTCAAACATCATTAGAATTTAAGTAATTCTGAGTGATTTTTGAGAAGAGGTGGTTTGGCACTGGGGGGGGGGGGGGGGGGTAACCATGCTTGGCAACAGAACGTACAGATTGTGTCTTGGAATCCAAACCAGGCTGTTCCACAAACACCAGTTGGTGCAGTATTAAATCCTATTCCACCCTGAACCCTAAAGCAACCACACATGGCTGGTCTACATAAAGTATTCCAGGTCTGTCTCTCTTCCTGGCAGTCGTGACCTCCCAGAGCGTTGACATGACTTGGAGTCTGAGTTCTTGCATCATAGGTGTTCTGGCAAGCTTGAGCTGAAATTGTCTCTCGGAAACTGTCTGAGGGTTTGTGTCGCTTTCACTGTCATTGTTATTTCCATTGTCTCGAAGGCTGCCTCTGTTGGCTGTTTTGAGAGAATTTTATTACACAGTGGCCTGACATTTTGACACTAATCCCTGAGAGCCAGCTGTCAATGGCAGAGAGAAACTGCATATCAATGACTTAATGCAGTGGCCTGCTAATACAATGCAAATACAATCACTTGTTAAGTGATGTACAACCAACTTAACAAACTGAAAACCAATTTGACCAAGCTTTGAGACCATCTGGGTTTCTCAAATCCAGTCCTAGTATTCCAGCCCTAATTAAACACAATTAAACCAGAGTTACTAGAAAATTGCAGATACAATTGCAGGTCTAGAAGGTCTCCCAGACTGGGAGACCTTCTAGACCAAGGGTGTCCAAACCTGCTTCTGGTGTTTTGCAGAGTTTAGCTGCAACAAATCACACCTGCAACAGCCAATCAAGGTCTTCAGACTTGCTAGAAACTTCCAGGCAAGTGTGTTAGAACTGGTTGGAGCTAAACTTTGCAGGACATTGGCCATTCAGCAGCAGGATTCAGCAGACCATCTTAAACCATCTACAGTACAACTAACAAATAATAATATACACTGCAGAATCACCTCTTTTCTCACAGTATCTGAAAATTCTTGATCAAGGATCCGGTTTCCCTAAACCCATCCTTTACAAGAGCCTATACTCTGCTCAGATTGGTCAGATGACCCAGTCTGTTGTCATTGGTCTACCACTTACAGCGCATGCCAAAAACGAAACGACAATTACCATATCTGAAATTCAGCTCCAGAGGCTTCCTCAGCACAGTGATATGGACAGTAATGATGGCATAAGTTTTATTGTATCAATTCAAGCCCAAGTCTTAATCCTTTGAAAGTAGACGTAGGGTATTTCAAATTCCAAACTAACTAGCTAACTGACTTTCACCGATTATTTTTTTGGATACAAATAAATTTGGCAATGGTTTTAGCTGCTTTTCAGCTCAGAGATGCTATTAACCGCTGTCTGTAAATGCGTGTGTGTATGTGTGTGTACTAATATAATAATATGCCTCGAAGGTTGTAAAGTAGGGCTGTGCCATATCATACCGTCCACGATAATACCGGTATAAAATTTTACATGATAAAAAATTGTCATATCGCGATATTGATGATATGATGACGTATGGCGTATTTACGTTACTTAGCGCGTGCACAACAACACAGCAGCATGTCAGCCTCCGGATCAGATCAAGATTTAGTTCCTAAAAAGGGCGCTACTTCAATAGTATGGAAGTTGTTTGAGTACAAGAGGTCAGATCTCCAACAACACAATTATTATTATTATTTTTTTTTGTCAAATATGCATGAAAACTCGTTTCACCACTTCCCTACTAGCGTACATTTTGCATTCGCCTAATCTTCCTTCAGAGTTTCCGCAGTTCGGGTACAACAGTCAACACGATTAAACTCTTTCTAAGATGATTCAATGTTATTATTATTATATTTGTAAATAAAAGTTCTATCCTTTCGCATAAAACAACTTTATCTTGCTGGACTTTATTGCTGTAACGTTAACTAAATCATCATGTTACTTTCTACCGGCCGGGTGTCTGTTAGAGCAAAACACTAGAGTCAGAGCACTATTGTTCATCACGCCCACAGTAACTGAAATGTAAAACTGTTAAAAGAAAGGACTCGATAAACGATTGCATAGCTAGATGCTGTATATTATACACGACGCTACGCATCAATATTTATTTACTTTGTGCTTTGAACTGTTCAGTGCGGAGTATTCGACGCGCTGCGCGTGCGCGCTGTGACTCCGTGTTGCTTCAAGCGCATCATTCAGCGCTCGGGATGCGCATAAGCGCTGTGCGATATATTGGAGCCTTTCATATCATAATACTTTTGCGCAATGAAAGATTATTAATAGCCTTTGTTCTGTCCTATCGATCATATGTTGCTGCCTCATTAAACAGCTGTGCTATTCATTTTAAACATGCCTCAATTTTATAGTAGACTAGGCTATATAATAATTAATCCTTTTGATTTGTTACCTTGTTTTTTTTTCATGAATGTACAATACAAAGAGCAATGTGTAAAGTTTTACCAGATTTAGTGTTACAATTGTCTCTTATTTATTCCCCACTAAATGTTTTTTTTCCCTAAATGTTCCGATTTTATACAATTATTGTATAAATTAGTATACCTCATTTGATGCTAATCCAAAAACTATGCAAGGCAACTGTTACATTTTGAAGGTTTGTTTGGATTGCCGCTGTTTGTTTAAATTTTTTGTACTTCAAAGTTTAGGTAAATTTTATTAGGTGACAATATTGTGCAGGCTTCTGAAGTTATTGTTAATATTGTTAATGTATTACTGTAGTTATTGTTAAAATAAAATGATAAGGAGTTATGTTATACTTTTTTTTTGCACTAATGCTGCTGCCAGCCAGCTGCAATCACCAATAAAACATTGTTTCATATATATTTTTTCTATATCGTGATAAATATCATTATCGCAAATATTCTTGAAATATCGTGATATAATTTTTAGGCTATATCGCCCACCCCTATTGTAAAGAGACAGCAGTGATTACAGTGAGCTGAAGAAATTAAGTTACAAAGACCAAAGGAAACAGGCTCTGTTTGTGGAATAGCAATTATTCTGTTTTCTTCCCTCTTAAAAAAAAAATCG